GCTGAGCTAAATCCCCAGCCCCATGAATCTCCTATTATTATACCTTGGATATCTTTTGACTTAAATAAGGAAATTGATTTTATCATTCTTTAGCAGTTATGGATATTATACTGTACTGTAGTTGTTATTTTAGTTGATTTCTCTGCCTCTTTTTTCCCTACTCATGTTTTGTGTGGCCTGAATTGCCTGCTTTCATAGTAATTGTATGTTATTTCTTTTAGCTTTGTGGAAATAATAGTTTAGAAGCATTTAGATTTATTGAGACAATAAGTCAGAAAAATATATGATTTTTTTTTTGTCTTTTCAGAATTTTATTTAATGGTAATATACCTAAAATACTTTTTTTTCTAAACTTGGAAAAAGATGGATCATTAAATGCTAATTTTTAATTGGACATGGTGGTGCACACCTGTAATCCCAGCTACTCTGGACACTGAAACAGGAAAATCACAGGTTCAAATCTAGCCTCAGGAACTTTAATGAGACTCTGTCTCAGATTTTTAAAAAAGTTTCAAGGGGCTGAGGATATAATTTAGTGGTAGAGTGCTTGTATAACATGTGCAAGGCTTTGGGTTCCAACCCAGTACCCAAAACAAAAATAAATAAATAAAACCAAAAAATCCCTCTCTCATATATATATTTATTCATATGTTCAGTTTTTAAAAATCCATACTGTAATTCACATAAAATAAATTCATTGGCTTTCACTCCATTCATATTTGAAAATACCTAATAGCCCAGCAAGGATCTCAAATGAGACTTGAAGCCTACAGGGAGAGCAAAAAGGGAGACCGAAGTGAAAAAGAAAGAGGTGGCAAGCGGTGCTTTCTTCCTCAGCTGGGACTCACTGTATGGGAGGGCTGGTTTGAACCTACAGACAGACATAGAGTGACTCCTGGGGACCCCAGAGGTCTCCACAGAGAAATGCACTAGTGGAACAAAGTAGTGAACACAGCAGACTGTAGTGGCTGATTTTGTTTCGTAACCACAAATCTAGTTCATAAAGTTAAAGGTAGCAAATTAATAGTTACCATAATTTGTCATTTTCTAGGCTGTGTTTGATGCCATTGTTACTGCTGATTGTACTGCTTCCGCCAAGGTGACGTGATTATTTCAATGAGTTTTTCTTCCTTGTATGCCAAGACTGAATTGCCTAAGGGTCTTAAAAAATACTATAGGCCAGTACCAATGAACCAAGAGGTAGGCCAAATAGACTGAAACTTCTTATCCCCAATAAATTGAAGAAGTAGGATCTTGCAACAGACTCAAAACCCAAAACCCAGCTACACCCAGAAGGCAACTCTGAGTTGTCATCTCCTAAAGGTTCTAAATACTGGCAATAAAGCTACTTGCTATAAGCAGTTTACGAACATCAACCCCGGAATTAAACTAAAAAGAAAATAGGAAAAAAGAAAATGAGAAGACTTAAGCAAGATGCAGCCCCAGACTTCCAGCTCACCAAAGGCAAACTGAGAGGGCAATGAAGTGGAATAATTTGAAAGCCACCCACCTGGCCTCTCTGAAGTGGTAACAGCAGAAGTAACAAAGCAGATGAATGTAGCTCTGGAAAAAATCAGTTTCTCAGGTAACTACAGAGATGGTGGCCATAATGAAAGACATGGTTAGTGACTCTAGAGCAGATACAGATTTAAAAAAAAAAAAAAAAAATAGAGGAACTTAGGAAAATGATGGAAACTACAAACTCCTTACATAGGGAAGAAATGGAATCCATGAAACAGATTCAAACAGATATCCAGGAGATTAAAAATTCCTTGGAAGGGATATGCAGCAGAATGAGCCAATGTGAGGACAGAATCTCAGTTATAGAAGACAGGATTATGTTTAGTGATCATGAAAAGAAAGATTTCTTAATAATAGCAAGGGACCATGAAAAATCAATCCAACAGCTGCTGGATGATCCAAAGAATAATAATATAAGATTAATCAGAGTCAATGAAAAAGCTGAAGTAATGGGGAAAAACTTCCCAAGCAGGGAAAAAGTATTAGACATACAAATAAGTGAGAACTATGGAACTGTAATTAGCTATGATCAAAACAGTCTACATCAAAGCATATAATGATTAAGATTCCAGAAATTCAACCCAAGAGCAGAATATTAAAGCTGTTAGAGAAATGAAACATATCTATAAAGGAAAGTCCATCAGAATCACAGCAGAATTCTCAAGACAAACCCTGAAGTCAAGGAGAGCTCAGGGTGATTTCAAACCATAAAAGAAAATAAACTGCAGCCCAGATTTATGTACCCCACAAAACTATCTTTCAAAATTGATGGAGGAAATAAGATACTTCCATGACAAAGAAGAAATTCATGAACACCAAACCACCACTCCAAAATGTTCTGAAGGACAGTCTAGAAAGAGGTAATAAGGACTACAACTCCATGAACCCAAACAGAATGAATCCATCAGGCCAAGCAAGCAATTAAACAGAGGGGAAAGCTGAGTGTGGTGGTGCATGCCTGTAATCTCAGCACTTGAGTTGCTGAGGCAGAAAGATTGCTGTAAGTTCAAGACCAGCCTGGGCTACAAAATGAGTTCAAGGCCAGCCTAAACTGCATAGTGAAACTCTGTCTCAAAAAGACAAACAACAACAACAAAAAAAGGGAGGGTGGAGATCAACAACAGGAAAATAACATGACAAGGATAAGTCAATACATATCAATTATAAGTATCAATGTTAATGGTCTCAATTCACCAATCCAAAACAGACTAGCAGAATGGATCAAGAAACCAGATCCAATAATGTGCTGCATACAGGAAGCACATCTAATGCAAAAAAAAAAATCTAATAGCCATGTGTTCTTAAAATCATCTAGGTAATTTATTTTTATTCTAAATGATCTGTCATAAATGAAAAACACTTTACAAATTAATATGTATATAATATGTATCATAATTACAACTATTTAAAATTTATGTATAATAAACTTACTAGAAACAAATGATAACTATGATTTTATAAGTATGGTCATAGGATAAGTATTTTTTTCTTTTTTTAATCATTTTGCATCAATATATTCCTGAAACGTATTTTAAAATTATTTTAAATTTGTTTGTAGATTAAACCAAAAGGTAATAAAATAACTTAGGTTTTTCTATGGAGGCTTAATTTCCTGGAGGGCCTCATCCTCTCTCTCTGCCTCCCTGTCTATTTTTCTCTCATACCATTCTTTTACCTGGTAGCACATTGTAGCTTGATTCTGCTCCAGGAAGATTTAAAAAGGATTCAAACTTTTCCTCCATGCTGTAATCAACGTTAATGATGGGAAATCTTGCTATTGGTGTAGCAGTTGTTTGCTGAATTCCATGCTGTCTGTTGGACCTATGGTTGAGTGAGGAATTTTTCCTCAATCTTCTGTGATACATCTTCCTCTTTTGTTTCCTAAGAATTTCTTCATTTTGTCCAAAGTCAGTTTGAAAAATAATAAGCAGAAAAAAACAAAGCAAAAATGCAAATTTCATAGCTGATGTTTCGCCAAGCAATTTCTAGAGTGAAAAAGAATTTCAAAGTTAGTAGAGACTTAAGAAAAAACAAAGTTAGTAGAGATTAAGTTTTTGCCTTTGAAAATTGACTTATAATTGCTTGTATGCCTCAGTAATAAGTCTTTGAGAAATATCACTGATATGGGCTATGTACTATAATATCACTGCCAAATCAGAATTTGGAATTTTTCTATTAGAATCAAAGAACTTTTCTTGTATTTATTTCTGGGCTTATCTTGAGCAAACTTTTCTATGACAGGCTAGATAATAATTACTTCAGGCTTTTTAACTATCTGTTCTCTGCCATAACTATTCAACACTACCTTGTAGCATGGAATCGGCCGTAAGTGATATGTAAATAATTGTGGTGGTGCTTCAATAAAATGATCATTACAGTAAAGACAGTGGGCCAAGCTGGACATGATGGAACTTACCTTAATCCCACTGCTCTGGGTGGTTGAGGCAAGAGGATCACAAGTTCAAACCCATCCTCGGTAACTTAATAACTTAGCAAGACCATATCTCAAAATTAAAAAAAGAAAAAAGGAAAAGAAGACACTAAGCTGGGAATATAGCTCAATCCCCAGGACTGTCCCCACCAGAAAAAGGTGGGTTGCACTTGGGCCCTTAGCTATAGTCTGCTGACCCCTTACTAGGCCTCACTGTGCTGAGTTTTTTGGCAATTAAATTGGGAGATCTCTGCACTGGTCTGCTGAGGTGCTATGTGACGAACATCACCACAATTCACTTTTCAGACCTCCTGTTTTATTATTCATTATCTTTATAATTTTCTTTATTGGGTGGAAGGCGTGATTGTACCTTATAAACATAACTAGGCAATAGTAACAGTGATGAGGAAGTAACACAGGAAGAATAACTTGACTGGATCCTGCACATAGTGAAGCTGAGAAATAACTGTTAGGCACTGTTGGTGTAAAAGCAGCATTGTATCCACCAGTCTGCTGCAGTCCCTGCGAAGGTAGGGTGGAAAAGAAAAGAAACCTCTTTCTTCAGAGCTTCCCTGCCCTTTCGCCTGGCCACCCTTTTTTCAGTGGCCTTCTGCTCAGGTCCCCTCACTGTCGGTGCTCCCCAGGATATCCCCTGCACAGAGGCCATCCATTCTCCATAAAACACTCACTAAACCCACCACTGAACTAGGAGTCATATGGAACTTATTTCATGGGTAATTGTCATTTATGAAAAGCTTACAGCTAACATAGTACTTAGTGGTGACATTGTTTTTGCCTTAAGTTCATGAATGTTGCAAGGTTGTCTGTTCACACCACCTCTGTTCATTTTGCTGGATTTTCTAGCCATTATAGTCACAGAAGTCCAAGAAAGATAACACCATTTTATAATCTTTAGAAATATATTTTAAAATATGGAACAGCAGTGTTTACTAACAGACTCAAATATATTTTGTCTTTGTATAATTTTTTAAAAAATAAATAAAAATAAAATAAAATAAAATAAAATTTAAGCTGGAGATATAGCTCAGTGGCATAGTGCCTGCCTGGCAAGCATGAGGTCCTGAGTTCAATTCCCAGTACCAAAAAAAAATTTAAGCAGACTAGAATTTTTATTCTAAGCACTTATAAGTCAACACTTTATTTATAGAAAATACACACATATTTGAAAGGAAGAAATAAAACTGGCTTTATTCACAAATGTCTAGGTCATTTATGTAGAAAACACAATGGAATCTGCCCCCAAAAAGCTTCCATAATAAGAGTTAAGCAAGGCTTCAAGATACAATCAATGTACAAAAATCAAGATTATTTCTGTGTGCTAACAACAATCAAAAACAAAATTAAAAAATATAATACCATTTATAATAGCATAAAAATATGAAACACTAAAGAATATTACTATATTCTGAAAAGATAAAGTACTGCTGAAAGAAATAAGACCTCTGTCAGTGGAGATATATACCATATATATAGATCAGTAGACTCAATATTGTTATATTCTAGCCAGGCATGGTGGTGCATGCCTGTAATCCCAGCACTCAGGTGCTGAGGCAGGAGGATTGCCGCAAATTTGAGGCCAGCCTGGACTACACAGTGAGTCCAAGGCCAGCCTGATCTACATAGCGAGAACTTGTCTCAAAAATGTATGTATGTATTTTTCAGTTCTCAATTCTCCCTCACATAAATCTACATTAAATTGTCACAAAGCCAGTCAGAAATCTAGCAGACAATTTTGATAAAAATTGACAAGGTAATTCTGAAATGTATATAGAAACTGCAGACAATTCAAGCTGTTCAGTAGTGAGAGTATCAGTGGTTGGCTCAGTTCAGGAATATGAATTGACTGTGAGACAGGAGGATCTCACTGCCATAAGAGAGCTTTGGGGAGTGGTAGGTATGTTAATTTTCTTGATTGTGGTTGTAGTTTTACATGTAAATTTAAATTTATTCACTTTAATTGTCCCTACCACAGTATTTGGGCAGAGCCATCACTTTATATTCTGAAAAAGAGAATGATTATTTGGAGTCGCACATCTAAATCATGAAGTGAACAACATTCACAGCCTGAACCTGGCTGAGGTTCTTAATGTAAGGGAAGTCAATATAGAGGACCTTGGGAGCCATGCTGTAAGAATGGTAACAGTTTAGAGCTGTGGTCAGGAAATTATGGACCAAAAGGCTACATTGGGCCTGCTGCTTGTTTTTGTACAACCTACTAACTAAAATATTTTTGTTGTCTCTAAGTGGTTAAATAAAATTAGAAGGCTGAGAGTAGAACTTAGTGGTAGAGTGCTTGCCTAGCATGTGCAAGGCCCTGAGTTTGATCCCTAACACCACACACACACACACACACACACACACACACACACACAAAAGCTGCATACAGTTGTACTGTAGCAAGTGAGGCTTAATTAGTCCTGCCCTAATTTCATTCAAAAAAAGGAGTGGAGAGGGGAGGATCTGGGAATGTTGCTCAGTGGTAGAGCACTCACTTGCTAGCATGCTGAAGACCCAGGTTCAAGCCTCGGCACACCAGAAAAAATAGAGCTGGAGGTACAGTTCAGTGATGGAACACTTGTCAGGCATTCACAAGACCTTGGGGTAGGGTTAAAAAGATAAAGAAAAAAATACAGAAAAATAATTTCATGATCGTTGAAATCACATGAAATTAAAATTTATTCTTTTTTTTTTTGGTACCCGGAATCGAACTCAGGACATTGCACTTAGCAGGCAGGAGCTTGTGCTGCTGAGCTATATCCCTGGCCCAAAATTAAAATTTAATATATATAAAATTTCAGTATACACAACCGTGGTCATTTATTTATGTATTCATTTTGGTTATGCGTTACAATGGCAGAGTTCAGTACTTGCAGCAAGAGACTCACACTGTGAGCTTCAGAAGTTAAAATAGTTTACAGCAAAAGTTGGCCAACTCAGTTTAGAGCAGTGCTCCTCAACTGGGTGTGATTTTTGCCCCTCCCCCAACTTTTAGTAATTTTGTTTTGTTTTTTGAGACAGGGTCTCACTATGCAGTCCAGGCTAGCCTTGAACTCACTGTGTGGCCCGTGCTGGCCATGAACTTCCCACAGTCCTCTTGCCTCAGCCTCCAAAGTGCTGAGATAAAAAATGTGCATCACCATGACTAATTTGGAGATGATTTCAGGAGTCACAATTTGGAGGAGATGCTACAACTATCTACCATGAAGAAGCTAAGGTGCTGTAAACATCTTACAGTGCACAGGACAGCTCACTACAACAAAGAAACAGTTGGCATAAAATGTTGATAGTGCTGAGATTGAGGAGCATAAATTTAGAGAAATAGTTATTTGAGGGTTTTAATCAAGACATTCACATGTTGCTGTAGCCAAAACATAATGACTTATAATTGAATAGACTCTTACAGTGTTATGAAAAGGAAGAGTGGAAGATAAGCAGATCATTTCCACATGATAACCTACTTCACAAAGTGTTCTCCGAACTCCAAAGTGTTATCAATTAAAATGCATTTAAAGTTATTAAAAAAATTAAATATCAAAATTCTACAAATGTAATATAGAAAAGACAAACTGCCTTATCTATATCTCATTTAGTACAAAGGTAGATATTTTTATCAAGGGCCAAAGAATAAGTATTTTGAACTTTGCAGAACAATGGTCTCTGGCACAACTACTCAACTTTGCTGTTATAGCCACAAAGTAACCCTACGTGATAAGTACATGGGCGTGATTGTGTTTTGGTGGTGCTTTGCTTGGAAAACAGGAATTGGTCTCTGGGCCGTAGATTCCCAATTCCAAATTTAGTGTAATTTTCATAACAGTGTATGTATGTATGTATGCATATATATATGCATATATACTTATATTTTAATTATATATATTTGTTCTCTATGTTATGCTGAAACCTATTTCCACTCAGCAATAAATTATGGGTATGCAGCTACATACACTAATACATATGAATCCATCAGGTCTTTACAACTTGTTTTCTTTCTATAAATTACTTAACAGTTTGGTAGTACATATTTAATATTTTCCTATTTTTGTTATTGGGAATAATCTTTATCCATATAGCTTTCCTAAGTATTTTCTGCTCTTAATTTCATTTTTACATTTATAAATAATATTACTAGAGAGTCCTTTGTTTTAATTATATCATTTTGGTTTTTTTAAATGCAATTTAACATTTATTAGTCAGTTTGGTCAAGTTTGTTAATATATCTTGAGGCTAAGCTACATTATAAGAATATACTTCCATAAATTTAGAATTATTTATGTGGCAATTTTATCTATCTCTAGTAGTGCTTTTTGCCATAAGTACTACTTTGTCTAATGTTAACGTAGTTGCTTTCTTTTTGTTAATGTTTTCTTAACATATTTGTCTGATTTTTTCTTTTAGCCTTCTGTGTTCTATGATTTTTATTAGTAACATTTTTACTGTAGTCTGGTAATCTTTATCTTTTGATTGAAACATGTAATTGAGTTATATTTACTGTAATGCTTGGTATATTTGAGCTTAAAACTTTTTCTATTTGCTTTCTGCTTTGTCTACCTGTTCAGTGTTATTTTTTCTGTCTTGCTTTCATTTTAATTGATTTCTTAGTTTTTGCTATTGGTACTGTACTATACAGTGAGCCCAGGAACTTGCTGTGCTAGGCTAAGTACCACTCAGCTACATCCCCTCCTTTTTAATGTTTATTTTGAGACGGAGTCTTGCCAAGTTCTCCAGGCTGGCATTAAACTTGCAGTCCTTTTGCTTCAGTACCCCATGTAAGTAGCTTATGGTTATATACTTTTTACTGTTCTTTTCTTTGTAGAAATTACCACATGCATCCTTGACTTAGCAAAGGACTTTTGGGACCTTCACCTCTTTCTATATTTGTTTTTGTTTTTTGTCTTTTGAAAACAAGGGTCTCGCTATGCAGTTCAGGCTGGCCTTGAGCTTACTTTGTAGCTCAGGCTGATCTCGAACTTGCAGTGATCCTCCTGCTTCAGCCTCCCAGGTACTGGGATTACAGGCATGCACCACCATGCTCAGCTTTTACCTCTTTCTAGACAATGCAAGAACCCCAACAAATTGATTCTAGTCTCTCTCTTCTGGCACATACGCTATTTATATCATGTATTTTAATTCTCTTTATATTTTAAACCTTCAAAAGATTATTATCTTGTATTCAATGTTCATTTAGAATCAGACCTTTTCAGGTATTTTCCATCTGATTAAAGAATGTCTTTTAGTAAATACTTTTGTGCCGGTCTGTTGAAAATGAGTTCTTTTTTTGTGTTTATCTCAAAATGCTTATGTATTATCTTTATCCTGAAACTTTCATTTGACATATATTTTCTTTAGCACTTTGAAGATACTGTTCTTGTATCTTTTTATTTTTTGGGCTTTTTTTCCAGTACCAGGAATCGAACTCACGACCTCATGCTTGCCAGGCAAGCGCTGTGCCACTGAGCTAAATCCCCACCCCTCTTATATCTTTTTGTTCCTCACAATTTTATTGAAAAGTCATGTCCTAATCTAAATACTTCTCCTTTAAAATTAACTTTTTACTCTGATTGCTTTTAAGATGTTCTGTTTGCCCTTGGCTGTCATCAGTTTTACTCTGATGGGCACAGGTATTATTCTCCTGTTTGTATTGTGTTTAGGTTCACAGCACTCTGTGAATTAGTGGCTTGCTGCTGTTCATCATATCGCATTTGGGAGCTTCCCGGCCCTTATTCCTTCATGCACACTCCTTTCCTCTTCCTCTTACTTCTTTCTTTTTCTTTCTGTTTTTTTGAACTGGGAATCAAACTCAGGACCTCGCACATGCCAGCCATACAGGTGCCATGCCACTGAGCTCTATCCCCAGCCCTTCACCTCTTTTCAGAAGCACAGCTGCTTGTGTACAGCCTCCTTACTGTGACTCCGCACTTTCCCTCTATTGTATCTGTTGTCCTCAGTTCATCCTCATTATTTTCCTAACTGATCTGGTTTATTAATATTCTCATCAGCTGTCGTTCATGTGCTATTAAATCTATCCATTAAATTTTATTGTTCCATTGTGTTTCTTCCTTTTCAGTTTTCAGTAAGTTTTTATTTCTCCTGCTGAAATTTTTAATCTTGTCTTTTTCTTTTTTGAATGTATCAATGTTTTGAAGTCTTTCTGAAGAATAGATTTTTTGGATCCTGTATTTCCATGGTGGCAAACCTGTGGCACACATGTTGTTTTTCTTTCAAGACAAAAGATGTATGAATTGTTCTTTATAAACTAAAACCTCAGTATTTATGTTTATTTGCAGTGCTGGCACTTTGCAATAGATAAGTGGGTTTTGGGTTGCAGTTTGGGCACTCATCTCTAAAATGTTCACCATTACTGCTCTATTTTATTTATCGCGTGTGTGTGTGTGTGTGTGTGTGTGTGTGTTTCTTTAGGTTTTTAGCCATATTGTTTTGTCTTTTTATTTACCTGGTGGCCTTTGATTAAGTGCCAGACATTGCATAGAAATTTATGACAATACTTTGGGTTGTACGATGATGTGTTTTCTATCTAAAGAAGATTTACATCTGGTTTAGGCATGAGGGTAAAGGCATCACCGATCATTATTGAGTAGTTAAAGTCAGGCTTCACTATTTCCAACTAATCATTACATTTTGGGGCCCACTCAAACCCTACTAATTTCACCAGTGCCACTTCTCGCCCTTTACCACTTGTTTGGCCCTTTTCCTTGTTTTTTGTTTCTCTCGCTCATGAAACTGTTTTTAAGCTCTGTGAAGCTTTTCAGTAACCTTTCTGGAATCCACAGATGCTTCCAGAAGAAAGGCTGTTCTAGACCTCTCTGGGTTCAGTCCTATTCCAAATAGTGGCCCTTTTGTTTTTCTCATCTTCCTGGTTGCTGTCAGCAGATCAGTGGGGCTGACTTGCCTCATCAAAAGAGACTTCTTCAGACTTGTTTTGTTACTAGCAGAAATAACTATATATATTACAGTATCTTTTACTGTATCTTATAGCTTATGAAGGTTTGTCATTCTTTTATGTCTGGAAATAATTCTGTTTGGCAGAAAATAGGATTATGATTTCAAAATCATTTAATTATTTTCCTCTAATACTTTGCAGATATTGGTCCATTATTTTCTTATATTTAGTGTTGGTAAGAAGTTTGACTTGAATCTCGTTTTCATCCCTTTGTAGAAAATTTTTGTTTGATATCTTTGATACTTAGAAGTTTTATTGTAATGTGGCTAGGAATAGGTTACTGTTGTTGCTTAATTTGTTCTTGGGATTTTTCAACCCACAGTCTTTCTGAATTTTCTTTCTTCTGTTCTCTTCCATTCTTATTCAAGGCTACATTTCCCCTCTTTAAGCTCATTCCCCTCTTCCCTCCATGTTTGAAGAACTCCTTACAGTGTCTATTCCATCAAGACTCCTCCTATTTCCCAGTGCAGCTGTGTATATTCATGTTTTTATACATCTATAACAGTCTACTATTTCTAGGGATGTGATGAAAAGCCAAAAGGGCAGGTTGTCTGGTTGGCCCTCTCGAATCTCAGTAGCTCTTTTTATAACTCCATCTGCCAAAATCACCCTCCTCTAAGTCAGGTTTTAGATTTGACTGTGTGGACCTGCCTCCACATCACCTTAGCTCACAGTTAGCAACCACTGAGATATTGTGGTGTCAACCTCAGCATCCAGCTTTTGTTCAGCTTACATGTGTGTTAATTCCTACAGCCGCTTCAAAAACATTACTGTATCTCATTGGAATGAAACTGTATTTGAACTTTTTTTTTTTTTAGGAAATTAACAATGGTTGTTATATTACATATTGTTATCTTTCACGAAGTTGCTCAGGTTGCCAGATGTAAGAATGCAAGATCAATTGAACTATTTTTATGATCTACGTTAGTTTCAGAAAAATGAACATGCAAAATGTAAAGGAGGTACAAATTCATTAGCTTATTGACACCTAAAATTGTATTATGTTTAGTGTTGATGAGTAAATTCATAGATCCAGTAGGAGTAACAGTAGCAAGAAGGGAAATCAGTGTAAAAATTTGAGCTGTGGGGGAGGGTAGAGCCAAAATTTGCTAAGAAGCAGAGCAAGTGGGCCTTGATGGACGCACAGCATGAATGTTCTGCATTGCATACAATGTATGCACTGATGTTTTACTGCTTTGACAGTTGTATATGTAGCCCCTCTATCCTATGACAGAAGTCATGAGAAATCAGGCCCTGGGCCTCAGGGCTTTGGAGATGAACTCCCATGACAGTCTCAGGCATCCTGTTGTCCTGGGCCTGCTATGAGCACCTCTTTGCCAGGGCATTGCCTACATGAGTGTGGAGGAGAGAGGGCACTGGCTGTGACCAGACTGGTCACACTCTATGTCCCAGGATCCTCATCCTGAAATCCCCTCCCAGCCTGTCTCCCTCCCTACAGGCTGACTCCTTTTTAGTTACCCAGAAATTTAAATAAGTATTTAAGTAAATTGACAGAACTACTTTCATTTCGACAGGCATCATTAAACTGTTTAAATAAATGTTGTGAAATGATTTCTTAATGCTGATTTTATAATTGATGCTTACTCTTTCCTTATTTTCAGAGACTTACAGAATTTTGCTTTACATTTAATATCTAATAAGCAACTTTATAATAGTGAATGAACATGTTTCTAGAGGTAAAATTTTGACACTCTAATCCCAATATTATTTTTATCAAGTAAGGTTTTTATCTTTTTTTAGCACTTTTATGTTTATTCCGACCATTAATATCATTTGTAAACTTCAACTTATTATTTTTTCCATTTAAAGTTTTTCATTATTTCTGTTAAGTAAACTTTAAAAATACTTAAGTTTTAAACTTCTAAATGAAGCCGTCAGTTATTATCCTGTCACCCAACAGGTTTCAAATAAAAGACATTTTAAGTTAATCTTTTAGAACTAAAAATTGAAAAAGAATGAAACTTTCAAGCCAATTTATACTTCTGTTTACCACATAATTCTATCCAAACATGAAAATAATTTAATCCTAACTTTATAAGTTTTGAAATACTTGGGAAGTAATCACCCTGAAAAAAAACAACAAAACAAAATAATGCATACTTTGTACTTTAAAATCTGTTAGTAAAGAGCTAATTTTCTCTACAATTAAACATATTTGCACATAAAATACCAGAATATTAAAAACATTCCACATGCCTTAGTAGAAACTTAAAATTTAAAAACTTTTTTACCTGGAAATCTAAACTAAGTAGACTTTGCTTGGTGTCACTTAAGTCTCCAGTTGAAAGTGAAACAAAATCAGAGCTTTCTTTAAAAAACAAAGAAAGAACAGAAGGAAATGTTGAAAAAATGTTTGTTGACTTCTTAGTAAAATCTAAAATAACTGATTCCCTTGGGGACAAATGCCTTTTAGTTCTTTTTGTAGAAAATCAGCCAAGAAAGTAACCAGGGAAAATCGTTACCAAGGGAAATATTTTTTAAAAATCATAGGAAAAGTGGAAAACATCAGCTGGGGCTGGAGGGAAGCATTTCCTTTGCAGGCTGAAAACGCAGAGCTAGAAGCACAAAATGAGCTTAAGAAATCTGCGGTTTTCACAAGCTGTTTACAGAAAAAATCTTAAAGTTCATACCAGCCCCCACATAGCATTTGTACTTTATCAGACTGTAGGGATCATATTGTTTAACTAAAGGCCATATGTGTCTGGAATGCCTTTTTAAAAACGAGGTTATTATTATTTAAATCTTTCATCCTCTGCCTGTCTGTCCATGCCAGTCTCACACAATATTGAAAGAAATAAAAGAACAGTTACATGTTAATGCTATTGGAAATGATGTGACTTCTAACTACTGGGTAATAAAAAGGGAGTATATAAGGGAGCTTTAAGGCTCCTAATTACCTGTTACTGTGGCAAAGTAGTTGTCTGCTTTGGCCTCAGTTTCTTCATCTGTACATGAACAAGTTAGAGCAGGACTCTAAGCCCAACCCTGCTGCCTGGGCTCTTAAGTAAGTTACTTAATGCTTTCGATGAAACTTTATTCTTCTGTACAACTGGGATAACAATATCTGCCTTTCAGGTTTTTGTAGAAATAAAATGAATAGCATAAGGAAAATGACCCAGTGTCCATCATAGACTAAGTGATTATCTACAATCTGGTCTTTGTTTTTTTTTCTGGATACAGGAGCTTGCTATGTAGTCCAGGTCCAGACTGACTTTGAACTCACTATGTAGCCCAGAGTGGCCTCAAACTTGCAGCAATCCTGCGTCATCCTCACAAGTTCTAGGATTACAGATGTGCACCACCATGTCCAGCAAAAAATCTTTTTTTTTTTTTTTTTTTCTCTGGTACCGGGAACCGAACTCACGACCTTGCGCTTGCCAGGCAGGCGCTTTGCCGCTGA